GAAAGAGGCAGACATCAGATTTTTACAGTTAGTGATTTGGGGTGCTAAGACTGAAACACCTCAAAAGGAACTTGATTTTTAGAAGACACGTATCACCATTTTTGGAACTGTATGTTTATGTTCCTTTTTATTTTGAAGCTCTCAATTACTGCCTTTTTGAGGAACTGCTCCAAGTTCTACATGCAGGATGGTTTGGTGTCTGAGTCTTTGGCTTCAAAGTTACATTTCATTGATTTAGCCACGGGTTTCTGTCTTGCCAGCGACAAGTTCCCCTTCATCCACTTTCATCTGGGTCAATCTACTGACCCAGAAAACCATGTGGCTGCACACAGACACCCCAGCACCAGCACACTGAAGCAGGTGGCATGGTCAGCCAAGGCAAGAGGGGAAGGGTTCCCTTGCACTGGCATCCTGGGCTAACTGCAATCTCAGGGGACACTTCCACATTCAGCAAGACTGACAAAGTACCTCAGCGATACCCAAACAGGGGAGGTCTCACATCTCCCTCCCTCCCTGATCCCACCTTTCTCTTCCACTGCTGGTCAACATGGTCCTGCCCACACCACCCTGCACCAGCTCCGGCATTCATTTCACTGATTTTTAGTCAAAGGTAGGAAACTATTCCTCCCAAATAGGCTTGGCCAGGATGAAGACAGGAGATGGAAGCACAGCTCGCACCTGTGACCAGTGGGTGACCTGCTATGTCTAGTTACTGTGTTTCAAGCAGCTGCACCCTTAGCTTTCTGGTACCCCAGCTCCTTATTATTCAGAAATGGCAGCAAGTCATATTTCATTTCAGAGGAAGCCACACTGAAGACTGAGACACTCAGGCATTATGGTAAATCCTTCAACCAGTTGGACAGTCATTAACCTCAGACTGACCACCCAAACAGCAGTCTCTGGAGATGCCATACAATACTTGACTTTATTCTAAACCATAGGGATCAACTATTCAGGCTAGGAATTAGTGCCTCACTGGACAGCTCACTCTGCTGCTGTCCAAGAAGCACTAATTTTGTGGCACAAAGGATGTGTTCAGTCTGAGACTTCTACCTCTCACACAGAGATTAACTTCTGCTTCCTTTTTGGGGCTGGCTGGTTTGTTCTTCCTTTACCATGGTCATGAAAGGAAAGAAACCAAACCTGACTTTTAAGAGGATTTCATTTATACTTGAAACCTCTGCAGGAAGCAGCAGTGTGGCTACATTACTCACAGGAGACCGATGCTACTTTCTACTCACAGTGAGACCGTATCGGGGGATGCTGAAGTACTTGAGCCAGTTCAGCCAGCCCATTACAGAAGGGAGGTTTACTAAGAGGCCTGAAAAGATCTGAAATAGAACAGAGGAGACTAATGAGTCACAAGCTGCGTTTACTGCAAAAAACGCCATTCCTGCACAGGTATTACAGTTGCCCAGCAGAGGTGCACTGGGAGAAATGGACCCCCTACTGCTGCTTGGAGCACACCGTTTGCAAAGCTCTGGCGGCATCGCACCTACTCAATTGCACCTGAGCAATGATTTGACCCTTAGATTACAAGTTGGCGGAAGTACATATTTGACTATAGTGACAATAAAATCAGAAGCATGGGGCTGACATGCTACTGGACTGTGGATTCTCAGCCTGTTCAGGGCTGGCTCAATCCAGTCTTCTCAGCCTGTCTCAGCTGCTTCCTCACCTCCACCAAAGGAGCACACGCACCCTTATATACTTACAAGCATCAGGACAAAACAAATAGTGATGAGCAGATTGGCCACAGCCACCACATCCATCCCAGCACTGATAGCCAGAGACATGGCCGTGGCAGTGTAGGACACCAGTATCAGGGTCAGCATGAAGAAGAAGAACCGGCCTGCAAGAGCTTGGTATCCTGTCAAAAAACAGAAAGGAAAGTGTCCACTAAACAACCACATTATGAATCCCAGAGAGGTACCCTTGGACTCCTATACAAGACAGGGAAAGCAGGAAGAAAGACCAAGTTTGGAGTTGGCAGGAACTGTGCGTGCTCCAAAGGCCCAAAGAGCACTACCGAAAGATGTGGTCAAGCAGGTCCCTGTCTTAGATTGCTGGTGTCTCTGCCCCTGCCCCAGAGTCGTCTGAAGTTACGATGCCAAGCACTTGAATCAGTTGAAGGTTCAACTAGTTTCATGTTATAGATACAGGAATTAAACTCTGGCTAAATTAGAAATCAAATGTGTTGAAAGATGACAGGTTCAACAAAAGCATCAATTCTTTACCAATCATCCAGTAACTGATGCATGAGAATATGATGGCTGGAGCAGTTCTCATGGGCAGCAGATCTCCTATCATCAAGGCCAGGAAATAGGCAGACACACGGTAATATCCACTGGTGTACTGATGGCTGCGAGGACAGGAAGGAGGGGAGTTGGACAGGTTTAGAGGTTATCTAGGAAGCAGGCTCAGCATGCATGCCTGGTTTATCCTGATTTGCCTTCTGTTCTCTCTACCACTGACTCCTCTATATGTAAGTTGCTTATTTTCTCTGTGCTGTTGCTTCCAGTTCTGTAAAGTAAGGGCTGATCTCTCTCACAGGCCCTGCAGTCATACTGAGAGCCCTCTAAGGAAAGTGAATGAAAGGCTATGTGACTGCTAAGTAACATACTGGAAAAAAACTTCTAAATCTCTTTTCAAAGAGAATGATCCTTAACACAAGAGCATGGGAAAGTATTAGACTGCTATTAACTAGAGGAATGCTTCATCCACAGCTAACTCGTACAGCTGCTTCCAGGGGAGAAGGAATGATACCCAACAATGGGAAAACACATTTAGGACATCAACTCACCTCCAGTTCACAGGGCAATTAAATATCATTATGATTGTTCATGCTGCTTAATGGAGCTCATGAAAAGATGCTTTAATTGGTGAGGTACCAAAATCCCCATTGACACAGCTGGTAAGCTAAGCTGGTAAGCAGGGCAGACTAGCAAGAAGTGTCGGTGTAGGGGAGATTCACTCCTGAATGGGGCAATATTAAGCTGCTTTGAGCAACCTGTGGGTGGACATGTGCATTCCAGGCACAAATCTCCAGCTTCTTCTTTACTGCATAGGATCTGTCTCTTGCCCTTCCATCCCATGAGCTAGAGCCTATTCCAAACTACATTTTGAAAATATGTGTATATAATATTTACATACATATACACACATACAAACATATATATATAGACAGAGAGATGCGCTTGATTATTAGGGAGCTCTTGTAAGCCAGCCAGCAGCCCTCTTCATCTGAGCATCCCTTGTGAAGCTTTTCCAAGAACTCTCCCTTCATCTTTGCACAGTCTTACCACTTCAGGACCATTGCAAGACAGCATTTCAACCCTGTCAGCAAGAGGGCAGGCAGGGTTCACAGTCTGCAGGATTCACATGCAAACTTCAAAACAGCTGTTATCAAAAGGGGGTAGGAAAAGCACTTCTCAAACTGTGACACAGCAAGCAAGTAAAAGCATTGTATTTCTCTCCTCCTTCCCCCACCTCTTAGCATTTCAGCTCCCTGCTCTACAGACCAATTTAGCATTACTATTACAACCTGATGTTGCAAGGAAGCAATCGAGTCTTTGGTGGAAATCATTTTGTTTAGCCTGTAAGATACTCCCGCCACCTCACTCCAGGGTATGAGACAGCCTAAGTGCCTGACTACTTACACAAATAGTTTCTTGTCTCTGATGAACAGCTCAATTGCAGAGACACTGGAAAAACACTGGTTTGTGGTGACAAAAAACAAGGATCCAACCCTAGAAGGCAAAACAGAACAGTCAAAAAGTGAGGGAACAGCCTAGATCAACACTGGCAGCCTCAGACATCATTATACCATCAAATCAGTGCTCTTCTGTCTCTGTTCACAGAATGGAAATATTTAATTGTGCTACTCTAGATCTTAGCTGTAAAACCAGGTTTATTCCTTTATCTTCCCTTTCACATCTCCTTTGTACATATGTGTGAGCCCAACAGAACTGTGGTCCTTTTAGGACCTCCAGCTACACCATGCTGCAGTACATTGGGGCTTGTGAACCCAACCCTCCTTTGTGGTCCAAGTGGATCCCAAGGCCTTCCCTGGGGCCAAAATCTGTCTGCTACAGACAGAAAAATGAGCAAAGCTATGGCTTTCCAACTTACCGATTCTGAATGCCACTTCGATCCAATTTTACACCAAAAAAGATAGCACCCACAACTAAGGCTAGAATTATGGTCACTGCAATCTAGAAGTTAAAAGAAGAAAGGGAAAAGGGAGTCCTTCAGATAAGTAAATAGGGACAAACTTAACAGTAAGGCATATGCAGGGTTTAAGATTCACACCTGCCTACAACTTTCCTGTTGTGAGTCGATGTATACCTATGACACACACAATTAAAAGCCTTATGGCAAATTTTCTGAGTTTATCCTCTCCACTTTTCTCTCTGATCTTCTTTGGCTGGGAAAGGTTAGTAGAAGCACACTCAAAGAATAACCCAGCTTAAAATTTCAAGTGAGGCACAAAATTAACATCACCCTAGAAGCTCCCTATGTGAACCAGAGAATGGAGCGTTTCCCCCACTCCCCAGCCTTCAGCAGTAGTCCTTGCGCTAAACTAAAATGGAGACTTTTTTTTAAAGGCAACAAAGGTAGCTGGGCATCTCACTCCACTTAAATGGCAGTGGCACAGGACTTTGCTGTTTCCCTAGCTGCCTTTGAAAGCAAAATCTATCCTACAAACTGCAGACTGCAGGACTAAGAGCAGAGAGAGTCTGAGACTTTTAGCAATTGTTACCTACTTGTGCAATGGAGGCCTGTGGGTTCCTGATAAGGTTTTTCAGGGAACGCTTGGACACCCAGTACAGCTGGGTGAGGAATCCATTTGCGTAGGTAATCTCATGCCCCTGCTTGGATACTCTCTGCATGCTTCCCCGTCCAAGCTCCACCTTTCCCAGTGCTTCTTTTGTGCGCTGATACAGGGTGGAGTTGAGATATTTCTGGTGCAGCACATCTACCACACTGCTGCCCACGTTATCTTCTGCCACTCCATTTTCACTGTGCACCTCTGAGTGAGAAAGACAAGATATGACTTGAGATTCCCCATGAACCCTACCTTCAGACATGGCCCATCAACACACTCAGCCACTTTGGAGGCTGAATAAAGAAAAGTAGGAATGCCCAGAGAATTTGAATTGTTCAGGCCTTAGCTCTGAGCTTAAGAGGCTAGCTTGAGTGAGAGAGTTTCTGTACAGTTTTAATCAAACATAGCTAATCTGCCTGTTCTTTGTGGCACAAAAAATGGCTATATTCTTAGAACAAGGCACCAGAAAACCTTTGTTTCACTGAATTTTTGGGAAATCAATGTTTACATTTCCCCATCCTCAAAAAGCACCATTACAAAAACTGTTCCCTTATAATCCTTCAGTCATGGATATGCTACAGCATCCCCAAACAAATATGTCCCAGCGTTTCACTCACTATATTGTTAGAGAGTTTGTTCTCTAATCTAGTTCCAGTCTTTTTCACTGCCCTGTAAATCCATCAGTCCTTAGCCTATCTACCCTATCTTCTCTGCAGCAGCCTCTTATGTAAATGAAAACTTATGTCTTCTCTCAGCTATCTCGAGACTAAGCCATTTTAGTTTTTCAGTCTTTCCCACACAGGTTTTCTAGATTACTGATTTATCACTGCTCTCCTATATTACTGAAGGAATAAAAAAAAAACATTTAAAAAGTTTTCTGAAGTCTTTAGAGAAGCCCAAAGCAAAGTATATCTATTAGTAGGAAAAATAAAAAGATAACCAAGTGCCCTTAGACAGGAGGAAACCCAGAGGATAAAAGCTTGCCGTCACCACATACAACTTCCCTTCTACACCAGCCAACAATGGATTTCTCCTGCACAATTTACCTTTTCCTGTGTCCACAGGTCTGTGATCTTCCTTGCTTGCTGCCACAGCTCTTGAATCACCATTTATGACATCAAGGAAGAAGTCAGCTGGATTGTTGAAGGGTTCACATTCATATCCTTAAAAAAACAAACCAAAACACACACATGCAACATGTTTGTATTGCACAGAGCGCAGCGTGGAAGGTCAGGTCTAATACTATATCACTCTTCCACAAACCTCTTGCAACAAAATGTCACTGCTTTCCATGAGCACTAGTTTACAGCAGTAAAATGGACAGGCTTTAGGAGATGGTGAATCTGAGGTATCTATACAGAGCTTCAAAGTTGCTTATTCTCCCCTGACTTCAGGTGAGGAGAAACCTGTAACTTGCTTCTACACAGCTCAGCATGGACAACTCTTGCCTCCTTCCCAGTGCTGTTCAACCACATCACACTCTGAAGGACACACAGTTCTTCAGTAGAGGTTGCTGGATGTCTGCTCTACAGCCTCAGATGCTTGCTCTAGAAGCTTAACTCGTGCTTGTGTTTCCTTGGTCACAAGGAAGAGGAAGCGCTGTCCAAGAGCAGCTTCTTATAATGCACTTCTAGCTACAGGACGAGGAGGAAGGGGCAGGGGAGGGGAAGCAAGGATGCTTACTCTATAGCATTCCTGTGAGAAAGGAAGTGAGGTGGGATACTAAGAGTAGAGTAGTCAGATTGTAAGCTTTCCCCGGCTTTAAGGGAGATGCTTTAACCAATCCAATGTGTCCATGGCTGCATCTAGACTAGATTGGAAATTCACTCTACATTCTCTGTCCATTAAAGTCAGAAACCCTCACCCTGCTCACTTGGAGAGGGAGCAGCCTCCCAACAGTGCAATTATTAACCTGTCTTAAGACACACCATGATTTTGTCCTCTCAGTTGCCCACCTGCATTCATACTAGAGCAGATTCTTGGATCAGCCCCTACAGATTGCTGCTAATCTGCAGGCTGTGGTTCAAAACCCACTGGGTCTGCCACCTAGGCCTGGCAGAACTACAAGCATCATCTTGTCTGTTGTGCATCATGCTTCTAAATGTCCAAGCGATTCTGGGTTTTTGTCCTGATGCAAGGCAGGAGAGAGCCATGCTCTGTGTTGTCTGGAAAATTTCATTTTTATCATTTTGGTTTTTTTCCTGTTCTAACGTAACACTGTTCAGACTGTATGTGTACAGCCTCTAGTTTCCTACTGATAAAACAGCACAGGATTGTTATCCAGTGCTAGGGTAAGAATCTACCCACAGATTAAACTCATTAGCCAGTTGTCTTTGCTCCTGGCACAGAAGACTTACCAACAGAACTAAAGTACTCCAGGGCCTGCTTTGCAGGACCATGGTACAGCACCTTTCCCAAAGCTAGTAATGTCAGACTGTCAAACAGCTTGAATATGGAATAGCGGGGCTGATGGATGGAAAATATAATGGTTCGCCCTCTGCTTGAGAGCCTGAAATAGAAACAAAACATCTCTCAAATACACCACACTTCACATTTCAGAAGGGTCATGTTAACCCAAGCAAAAAAACAAATACCCAAATCCAGGACAAGTATGTGTCAACTTCTCAGGGTCTCAACCCAGAAAAGCTGTAGTTCCCCCTTCTCTGTCATTATGTCAGATGCTGCCTACAAGACCTTCAAGACAGCACCCATCATTACAAAAGACCATCGCTGCAGTCTGGGTAGACAAAGTATGACGTTGTCTGTAGCTAGCAAAGGTTGAGGCCACAGCTGTGTATAAACCCTCCATACATGTTTTCTATAGTCAGGCTTCAACCTTCAACTGGAATGGTCCTACTGCCCTCAATGGCAGTGCCGGGCTTTACATAGCAGGCTGTGGAAGTCTGGTCAGCTGAGATTTCCCTTAGCTATTCTGCTGAAGATTTACTCTCTAGAAAAGTCAAAACTAGTTTTCCTTCAGGTTTATCAGACAGTCTTTCAAGTGCCTTAGCACTGATGCCCAACAAGTATCCTTGCCGATCAAAGACATCTATCCACAAACAGCAGAGCAAAATGTCTCCCCAAGCAAAACCAGACAACATGCTACAAATCCAGGAGGAGGGTTAAGAACTCATTCTCATTAAATAATCCTTCTTTGGTCCTCTTTGTACCGAAAGACAGTTCATCTCGAAAACAGAGGGCACTGAGGGTAAATCTGCAGGTGAAGTGCAATCTGAGTTCAAGGCCATTGCCAGAGTGGAGGAAGAGACTTTGTAATAGACTCAGCTGGAAGGCCAAGAAATTATGATTACAAGGCCTGACCTCCCAGTCCACCCCTCTCTGTGGCAAAGGGAAGCTGTCCAAGCTACATCTGCTTTTTGGGCTCCAATCCAATGCTTGCTGTGGAAAGATTCCCATCAACTTCAAAAGGCTTTGGACAAGACCTAACTAAAGAATTTACTACCACTTCTGAGTCTACTTGTCTAGCTTTTTTTTTTTTTTAAGAAAAAGCACTGTAGCTAGTCAGTCATAACAGCATTCCTTCTTTTACTAATGAGCTGACAACAAAATTGCAGCAGAGCCCTGAAGAACTGACTCTTACTTCTTCAAGAGGATGAGGACTGCATTGGCTGTGCTGGCATCAAGGCCAGTTGTTGGCTCATCCAGAAAAAGGACTGGTGGCTCTGTAATGAGCTCCATCCCAATGTTGGTTCTCTTCCGTTCCCCTCCAGACACTCCCCGGATCAATTCGGTTCCTACCTACAAGAAGAAGAAATCAAGTATTTGCAACAAGACCTGGTCAGTGCACGCTCTGGAGTTCAGGGCTTTCCACATCCAGCAGCCCTTTTCACTTTCAGAGTCCCATTAGTGAACTCTAGGGCCAGCAGCAGATGATGGGTCTTACTCAGTGTGAGGGACTGTGCAGCAGTAAGCAGAGCCTTATTTTCAGAGGTACCAGGCACCTTATAACTTCAGGGAGCAAGGATGACACTGACAAGGAAGAGCCAGAATGAAGCCAGAGCAGTTAGAGGTGGCATTGATGTTCAGGGATGCCTTTCATTGGTAGCTCACCTGCTGCTCAAGAGTGGGGTAAGTAAAGTAAAAGTAAGAGTAAAAATCCTGCTGGAAGGAACAAGCTCTGCACAGAACTTCTCCATCACAGCCCAGCTTTCCATCCCTCACAGCTTTCAGCACAGTAGAAACAATTTCCCTGTCTTGTCCCACAAAGCCAGGAAGCGACTGAGCAGCTTTCCAAGGTGCTATGACTAGGCAACTTTTTCCCCTCTGAACTTATACAACATGCTGGACATAGTCCAAAAATCTTCCCCTTTTAGTAGCAAATACACATACCTCTTTCCAAGCTACCTCCTGAGCTGGAGACTGATTTCTTGTGTGCAGTATGGTTTAGTCAGGTTCCTGCTTAGCTTAGTGTAGCTGCACTATGTATGCCATACTGCACAGAGTTGAGTAGTTCAGTTTCCAGAGGTAGTATCATTTCTGAGAAAGGTATTCTCACTGCTTACCTTAGCATCAGCCACTGTGTTTAATCCTAGCTCACTGATTATCTGGGTGACTCGTTCTTCCTTCTCTTTAATGCTGATGGAGCTGGGGAGTCGGAGGGCAGCAGAGAAGTGCAGGTTCTCCCTCACCGTCATTGTGCCCATGACAACATCATCCTGAAAGCAGTACAAATGGACAGTTGGCAAGCCTCCTTCTCAGCCACTTGACTGGGCACTAGAGTCCCTGTAGTGGCAGTTGCTGGATAAACTGTTTGTGGACCATAGTGGAAACTGGACTGAGGGGCAATCCCTGCTTAAAAACTTACATGACACAAAATTTAAGGCCACTCAGTAGCAGTCAAGGGGAGAGTGCAGCTCTGCAGGCTCCCAGCTTACACCAAGCACCACCTTAGCCTGCTTTCAGGCTCAGGAGTTCAAGAGCAGACAGTACCATTTTGTACTGCATGTGTATTTTACTTACCAAGGGAGTCAGAGCAGGTAGCTGGTTTTGTAAAGAGTTAAACTTCTGCCAGTCCAGCTGAAGCCAAGGGACATTGCTACTGCTCAGTGTTCAAGGTAGAGACACTCAGGGAATCACCCAAGTCAGCTCTGTTTCTGGTTACAAGCAATATCTTGCCGTGGTCCAGAGCACCTGCCGAGTTCAGCTACCAACAAGGAGCTCTCCCCAGCTCCTCGCTGGCAGCAGCTCCTCAGGGAAACAAGAGTATTGCACCAAGCTGCTCCTGATTTTTTCCATGTCTCAACTATCTATAACTTAGGCACAAGACCTTATTCTAAGGGCTACCCCTTTAGAAAAGATTCAGCAGTCATGTGCATTTTGAGTAAGAATCAAATCTATCCATTTGACAAACATCTGAGCAGCCTACACCAACCTGTAGCAACCATGAGCCAAACAGAGTTGATGTCAGGTCCATCCAGAGCTCCATGACTCTCCAGCAACCCCTGCTTTGATATTCAAGCTAATTCTGCATCCCACCATATGATGGGAGAAGCTTTGCAACACTGAGCAGCTGCTGAGAAACATGCCTGTTAATCAGGCACCCTTCAAATCTAGTGCCCTTTTGGAAGACACAGCCCCTAAGCTGTAGGGCAGCAGATTTTTGCCTGCTTTGGGACTCCTTCCACATCAGATGTAGTTGATCAGCAGCACAAAGGATGTGCCAGCCAACCATGTTTGGCACTGGAGTTAACAGAGGAAAACTGAATGTGCTGCTGTGCTAGAAGTGTGTGACAGGTTACTCAGGGTGTAGTGTTATGATAAACTGGCTTTGCTGCCAAAACTGGTTTAGGAATTTCCTGTCGTCACTTCCCTCCCCACATACCTAAGTCTCTCACCCTAGCCTCCCATTCCCCATCCTCAGATCCACCAATATAACTGTTGGGTCATCAGATTGGAAACTAAACTGTGAATTGAAGCTACCTTAATACCAAATGTAACAAACTGTGGCATGACACCCTCACTTGCAAGGCATGAGTGGAGACACCACCAGCAGTTTTATTGGGTAACACATGACCTAGCATGTCTATATGCTCATCTGCATAAAACTGACCCTATATGTATGTATTTAGGCCTTAAGTGTTGTTTGTAGTCTTTGGGCCATCTTTATTGATCTCAGGAGTACTGCACAGGGGAGGGAAGGGTGAGAGACCATTTAATGTCTCAGCTAGTTGCCTATAATTTTAAGGTTAAGTTTGGTTGCTTTGGACATTTGAGAGACAAATGTCTCAAAGTGCGACCACTTGCAAGAAACTTCCTGGCTGTTCATGAAACACTGAGGATTTGGGGATCTTTGACCTGCAGGATCAAGACTGAGCATCAATCTCATCACATGCATCTTCCCAGAGCCCCCCAGCTGGCAGCTTTCAGAAAAGCTGCCTATTTCACATCTGCCTGCAGTCAGAAGCCTGGATAGTTTCCAGATTTGGCTGCTCATATGGCTGCCAAGAACCCCCTTCTTCTCTACTCCCCCAGGGCTTTGAGGGTCTATTTATTGGTCCAGGCCTCCACCCACTTCCGCAGATTCAGCCAGCTTTTCCTGTCTCTGAGTGGAACGAAGCTCTGTCCCAGCCAGCCAGAATCAGAGGAAGAACAGCAGGGATCTATTTACTTCCTAGAATTATTGTCCGATAGCTTGAAGATACTTCTGCCAGCTAGAACTGCTTCTGAGTTTTACGAGATATTTTGGGTGTTGTGGGGTTTTTCCTCACCTTTTTATTTTTTTTAAACCCTTGCTAGTACTTCAGGGCAGACCCCAAAGAACAAGCCACAGTAGTCCAGTGGTTTGGGCATCCATGTGGCTTTGAGAAGACAAACACCTCCATGCTTGGCTTGGTTGAAGTAACAGTTTGATCCTCTTGTCTTCCATATCCCAGAAAAAACTAAATACTGTAGCATCTGAGTTAGCAAATTAGACTCTGTAGGGATCATTGAAAGTTGTCTATCCTAGTAGTTCATGCTTTGCTCATCTTATGCAGTCTTCCCTCCCAAGGACTCCCAGGCTTCCACTGAAGGCCGTTACTCACCTGCACAACATATCCTGAGATGCACTTGAAATTTGGAGGTTGTGGGATGCCATCTATAAGCACTTCTCCAGACAGGCCTGCTGGGTCCTTTCTGGCAGCCAGCACATCTAGGAGACTTCAGACAAACGCCAGGCATTACATTTTGCCATAACAGCTGCTTTTACCTTTAACTGGATAAGTATCACCAGTCAGGACTGCAGTTACAGCCTGCTTGCGGCATGCTGCAAACCAAAGGGCACAGAAAGGGGCTTCCTCTACTCTGGGGGCTTCAGCTCTTTGTACAGAAAGCCTGGTGTAGATACAGGATTTTCCAGCACAAGGTGTGCCATAGCAGTATGGTAGTATATAGACCCTCACAATTCATAGCAGTCAACCCCCTACAGACATAAACTCAGTCTCCATATTTACAGCTAACCTCAAATGCACACAGACAAAAGCGCCCTGCCGAGTAGCTGCAGTCTGCTCTCCAGCCAGGGGAGCACAGAAGCAACTACTTTGATCTCAAGGAAATTAATCCAAATGGGTATAAACAAGACTAGAGCCAAGATTAATTCTGTAAAGTAATTTTGTTTTAACATATCACTGGATTCTCCTTACTGCCAATGCAGAGGCCAGCCTGTCTGCTAGCTAAGTAAACACCGCCCTGATGAAGTGCTGCTCTTGACAACATCCTGATTAGCCAGCAGTCTCCTTAGAGGCTAAGATCAAGGGTCACCACAAAGACACACCTGTGTGAACAATGGCCGTATTTGCCAGTCTCTGACATTCTCAAAGGCAGAGAGTGACAGGGAGCTCTCTTGCCGTGGTTATAGAGGAGAGAAAACAGCATCAGCACTGGCTGGAGATAGTCTGCATGGTATTTCTCTGTGCTTGCGTCCAAGGAACTCAAGCACATGTGCGCCCCCACCACCAGGCCACAGCCAAGTTGGGGTGAGGATCCAAAGCACCCTACAAGACTGACATTACACTATATTTCTGTCAATTGTCAGAGAGGGGTTTGGCCTAGCATCTTCAAGGAAGTTTTGCTGCAGCAGCTTCACAGGGGACAACATCCCTCCTGCCCCCAAAGGAGCTTGCCCCCTCCCCACCCTGTGACAGGTCTAGGACAGAGCCTACCCCTGAGCTCCAGTCACCCCAGTTCAGCCTGGTATCTTAACTCAGGCCACCACCAAAGGTGACTGCAGTAATATGGACCACCAATTGGAGCAGATGAGGAGTGTGGCACTGCTGCAGGGCAAGAACTCCAGCAAAGCCAACAGCAGAGAGCCATGAGGTCAGACTGCATCACCAGATTTCTCACAGGCACACAAAGATCTGAGCCTGCAGATCTCTCACATCTTCCCCAACCCTCAGAGTCCCAAATCCTCTTTGCACAGCTGACTGTCCATTTGAAGGAGCAGAAGAAAATACTCACGAAGATTTACCGCTCCCAGTTGGCCCCAGGATAGCATTCAAGCCTGGCTTCATAATGCCACTGGAAGAAGGAAAGAGTTATTTCCAAATGGAGGACTGTTCACATGCAGCTCATAGTATAGGTACGGTGTGAACAAAATGCTGTTGAAAGGAAAACTTAGAGATTATTAAAAACTTCTCCTTAAATCTGAAATCAATAAGCATTTTTCCTGTCTTGCCACAGACTGCCAGTCAGAACAGAACCAGAGCTGGACATAAAAAGCAATCTACAAAAGATATAATTGTCTTCCCTGCTGACCTGGGTCTTGAAAAGAATAAGCAGCTGCTCTCTGCTGCTTGTGTCCTCCCACTGCAGCTTGAACCATAGCTAAGGGAACCCTCAGATGTTCTGGCAGAAGAGTTCGCACAAGTTTGGTCCTAATTTGCTCAGATCAATAACTGAAACTGCTCCAGCTATGTCCTGGCTATTTTGCCTAAAAGCGAATTAGAAAGTGCTCACATGAACTGCAGACTGGCAGGAGGGTAGTCATTTCTTTACCAGCACAGCTGGATCTGGAAGGTGACATTGAGGTCACCGATTCACAGCAGCAGATTAATTCTTACCCTCTGGTATTTTATTTATGCAAGAACTTACTAAACATTATGAAGGATCTTCTTTTCCACAGTTTTCCGTTTACACAGGAATCCACTGGACTGCTTAATGGAGTACTGGATGTTATGGAAACTCACAACAGAGCCCCGAGGTGATCGGAGTGACTCTCGTGTTGGAAGAGAACGTTGGAAATTGCCTGCTCCTTCCTCTTCTCCAACAGAAATAATGCTGTGATCAAATGTGTCTGCCATCATGTCCTTGTTACACAGGTCAAGTTCCACTGCGTGGAGTTTTTTGAGGTCACTGTTGTTTTGAGCAGTTCCCATCTGTTGTGACAAAGAATACAAAAACATGCAGGGAAGGAGACATGTGAGCAAAGAGTTCTGCAGAAAGCATCTTGGAAAAACAAGTTCACGCACACCACACCAAATCCTTACCCGTGCCAAGTTTCCAAAAGGATAGACATCCGCACTGGAAAACATCCAGTAGTCCCCAAAGGCACAAAACCCACAGATTTAGAACAATACACATAGCCTTTAAGAATGAGATGTGTGTTCTTGAAGTGACACTAGCTCCAAGAGCATCTAATGAGGTAAAAACCAAGCCCATCTGTGGTGGTCACCATCTTGCTCAACACAGTGGGGACTACAAATGCAAGCTGCTACCACTTAAGCTAAAGAGACTCAAGATCCCCTCCTTCAGGTGTAATGTTCTCACCTCCCCTCACACACCCACAAGGCCGGCAGAGAAAACCTATTGATGAACCTGTGTGAAGAACCATGGAAAGAAAAACAGTTGTGCTTCTGAAAATGAAGGCCAGTCACATGCACCTTGTTTGCTGGCACAAGTTTGTTTCAGAGATACCAATGTCATTAAAATAGCAATTACACATGTTGCTCATCATGTTTCAATCACACCAGTATCGAGACACTTCATAACTACAAATAGGAAGATAAATTCGGATTTGTCTGCAGGCACCATTTACCCTGAAGGAGTAAGGAGTTCCCCCTCCCACAGGGAGGAATCTGGGACATCCCACAGCAAGGAAAAACATGGTACAAACTGGTACATTAAGGAAAATTAAATATGGTATATATTTGTAATCACAAAGTTATAAAGCATTCTGGTTCAAGCAGATAGGCTGCCTCTGTAGCTCAGGATGGGAGCACCCGAAAGGGAGGACATGTGAACAGCAAAGGGAAGGAACTGCTCTCCCTGTCCATGCATCAGGGCCTACATAGTAGGAAATACATCGGCATGGGTATAACCATTAATAGGCATTCACTTACTAGTCACAGCAGCAGAGCTCTTTTGGCAAGGGACTCCTTCCCTTTCTGTTGCTGTAACTGACGGAGACCAAGTTTAGATCCATTCAGTCATTTAAAAAAAAAGAGAAAGATTAAAGTTCTTGCCTTGATGTTGCATGTGAAGAAGTTGGAAACCCTACAGTCCCCAAGTTCTGCAGCTTGTGCGAGGCCTGGGCATAACTTGTACCCTGTATTTTAGCCAGCTGCCCTCACAGCCATAAACCTTCCTGTCCCCTTTCCAGGGAACTACAGCAAGGAAGAGAGGAATTACTACATGCCCTTTCCAGAAATTGAACACGACAGGTTAGGCCAACACAAGTTAGTCTAATCATTTACTTCCCTTCTAGCTGCTGGCATGACGGTGTTTGTTGGAAAGCTAAAAATTTACTGTGATGTTGCAGAAAGCTAAGGCAGTCACCAGGTTAAGAGAGCAAGGAGAGAGAACTGTCCACAAAGACATCCTTTGCTGGTTACCTGAGTTTTGTGGGAAGGTAGATGTATCCCACCAATCACCCATTTCCCACCATCTGCACTTTTTCCTCCTGGGACTGAGAGGGGAATAACCAGTAGGACCAACAATATCCACCACTACAGAAGTAGTGGATTTCTCAGGGAGAAAGATGGTCACCCTTTTAAGAAACTGGAACTGTAAGAGCCAGATTTAAAGAAGAAGGAATTGCCCTTTCCTCTCTGCCTCTTCCTATCACTTAAAGCTCAAGAAGTTGCAGGTGTTTTTTTCTTTTTTTTTCCCCCCTGTATAAGTAAAATAAAAGTGGTGGGGAGAAGGAAGGGTTTTTTAGCTTGGACACATCCTGAACTCCAAAGCTGGTCACCCCTGGGGAAAGCCTTGCTTATGGGAAACAAGAAAGGATATGCTGGTTACATCAGCAAGAGAAGGCTTATATGCTTGAAAGGTTGCACAACAGATCAGGAGAGAAAAAAAAAAAAGTCAGGATGACAGCGGCACCAGGGGCAAAGACCTGGTTAGGCTTTTGAACATTTGACTGTCTTGTATCGCTCACATCTGTTCTGGATAGGTTTTGTAGTTTGTTACACCG